CGGAAATTTGGATGGGCTGCTGTAGAGATGTTGTTGTAAAAAGGTTGTTGTTGCCATAAGATGTTGTTGTCGGCAACAAATAGGTATAAATGCATAAAATAAAATATAACAGTTTATACCAATTATTATTTTTTGCCCAAAAGTTTTTATAACAGTTTATACCAGTTTTCAGTTGCTTGCTGCTGGTTTCTGTTCGCCTGTTACCTCAGTTTGGAAAGCGGCCAATTTGAATGAAAAGTTTTGCTCACTTCCATAAGTGATGCTCACTTCCATCAGTGATGCTCACTTCCATCAGTGATGCTCACTTCCATCAGTGATGCTCACTTCCATCAGTGATGCTCACTTCCATCAGTGATGCTCACTTCCATCAGTGATGCTCACTTCCATCAGTGATGCTCACTTCCATCAGTGATGCTCACTTCCATCAGTGATGCTCACTTCCATCAGTGATGCTTACTTCCATCAGTGATGCTCATCTCCATCAGTGATGCTCATCTAGCTATATTGCAATATTGGGAGGCTATAAAATCGGGCTTAATGGCAGTGATGCTCATCTGGCTATATTGCAATATTGGGAGGCTATAAAATCAGACTTTGCATCAGTGATGCTCATCTAGCTATATTGCAATATTGGGAGGCTATAAAATCGGGCTTAATGGCAGTGATGCCCATCTAGCTATATTTCTTTATTGGGACAAAATAGATAGATGAGCATCACTGATGCAAAGTCTGATTTTATAGCCTCCCAATATTGCAATATAGCCAGATGAGCATCACTGCCATTAAGCCCGATTTTATAGCCTCCCAATATTGCAATATAGCTAGATGGGCATCACTGATGCAAAGTCTGATTTTATAGCCTCCCAATATTGCAATATAGCCAGATGAGCATCACTGCCATTAAGCCCGATTTTATAGCCTCCCAATATTGCAATATAGCTAGATGAGCATCACTGATGGAGATGAGCATCACTGATGCAGATGAGCATCACTGATGCAGATGAGCATCACTGATGCAAAGTCAGTTTCAGTGTGCCCAGGTGCATTAAGGCAACAGTTTAGCCAAAAAATTTACAATATGGTCACATCTGGTTTGAGTCTTCGCTTACTCCAAGATCAATGGTTCGAAACTTGGACTTTTTATAACAGTTTATACCAGTTTTCAGTTGCTTGCTGCTGGTTTCTGTTCGCCTGTTACCCCAATTTGGGAAACGGGAAATTTGCATGGAAATGTTCGGAAATTTGGATGGGCTGCTGTAGAGATGTTGTTGTAAAAAGGTTGTTGTTGCCATCAAGCTGTTGCTGTCGGCAACAAATAGGTATAAATGCATAAAATGGAATATAACAGCTTATACCAATTATTATTTTTGCCCAAAAGTTTTTATAACAGTTTATACCAGTTTTCAGTTGCTTGCTGCTGGTTTCTGTTCGCCTGTTACCCCAGTTTGGAAAGCGGCCAAATTTGAGAAATTTTGCTCACTTGCATCAGTGATGCTCATGTGCATCAGTGATGCTCATCTGGCTATATTTTGCAATATTGGGGGGCAATAAAATCGGGCTATATGGCAGTGATGCTCATCTAGCTATTTTGCCATATTGGGAGGCTATAAAATCAGGCTTAACGGCAGTGATGCGCATCTAGCTATTTTGCATTATTGGGAGAAAATGGAATTTCACTAACTGTTGATGCTGATCAAGAATATATATACTTTATAGGGTCGGAAACGTCTCCTTCACTGCGTTGCAAACTTCTGACTGAAATTATAATACCCTGCAAGGGTATAAAAATAATACATTAATTATTCACTAGAAGAAGGGTTTTTCAAGGGTTTTAAAGTGTTTTAAGTAGTAAAATAGTAATAATTATTAAGTAGAAATTCAACTCTTTTAATTAATAGATAAATACAATTTTTACTAATAGTAAATTACTATATTTAACTCATATTTTTCCCTCCGACCAGGCTCTCTTTCAAATGCCATATATATTAAGCCATTGGCAAGTATCACGTGTTCGTCGTCGCTCTGGCCGCATTTTGTTTGGCTTGCCTGTTCGATGGGGCTCTCTTTATGCCATTTCATTCCATTCCAAAAGCTGGATGGGGCCCAGACCACGCCCCTACTTGGGCCAGACAGCCGCCCCTTTTCGGCCGAAGGGGCGACGCGACGTGTGCATAAATCTTGCACGCATATTTAAGTTGATGATGTTAAATGGCCGTACTAAAAATACGAAATATGCATGCCGTATGCAGGCAACAGTTTCATCCTGTGGCTCCGCGTGTGTGTGTGTGCGGAATGCACCGCCATGATCCACACACACTGGCACAACATGGCGACATTCATAAACCAAAACTGAGCCAAAGGCAAAAGGCTTTCGGGCTGGCCAAAAGGCGAACGAGCGAACGGTCAACAAAACGTTCTGGCCAAAAACGAAATCAAGTGGGGGGGACAGGCAGACTTGGGCAAAACGAAATTGGGATGCTCTGCCAGAGGGAAATATAGTTGAAAAGGTTAATAAAGGGAAAATTAAATTAAATGAGAAAAGGGTAGAAATTTTGATTATTTTATTTTAATTTTTGTGAAACTGTGAAACTAAAAACTTAAGGAAATATATTTAAAAAAAATTAAATTAAATTAAATATAAAATTTAAATACATATAAAAAAATAACAATAACAATAATATTATTAAATGTAATTTTAAATAAATATATTACCTAAAATGTTAATGTATTTCGTATGTCATGAAAAATCTTAATTTTCCGCTGATTAAGCTTACAGAAAATTCAAAGTACCTTCTTTATGTAAGAACAGCAATTGGTTTTTCTCAGTTACCTTATAGTATTTCTTTTTATACCCTTGCAGGGTATTATAATTTCAGTCAGAAGTTTGCAACGCAGTGAAGGAGACGTTTCCGACCCTATAAAGTATATATATTCTTGATCAGCATCAACAGGGGAGTTGTTCTAGATATGTCAGGTTTATTAACTGTAGAAAAACTTGCACAGAACAGTTTTCTGATTTAAAATTAATGCTCTTTTGGCCGAGTTATGATATGTTTAATTAAAAAAAAAATTAAGTTTTTTAATATAAAAAATCAGATTTTATAATACAAAATAATATTTTTCTAAGTCAAGGAATCATTGCCGACCCCATAAACCATATATATTCTTGATCAGCATCAACAGGGGAATCTTTTTAGACATGTCCGGAAGAAATCGATTTTTTGGCCAATTTTGCGAAATTTGATAAGGGGTTACATCATTAAAATTCTCAAAAATTGAAAAAAATTTTGATATCTTAAAATTTTAAATTTCGTATGCAGTTTTTTTAAATTAATAAAAACTAACACAAAACTGCTTTCCGAATCGAAATTAATGCATTTTTGGCTTAGTTATGATATATTTTAATTGTTACCTGCAAGGGTATACAAACTTTGGCTGGCCAAAGATAGCTTTCCTTCTTGTTTATCCTTAATTTCTATACCCTTCTGCAGGGTTTTTTAATTTCAGACAGGAGCTTCCCACTCGGGGAAGGAGTTATTTCCCACCTTATAAATCATATATGTATATACTTGATCCGCAAAAAACAGGCGAATCTTCATAAAAACTAACCTTTTTCCGAATTGAAATTAAAACATTTTTGGCTAAGTTATGATCAATTTACCATCTTAAAGGGTAAACAAACGTCTGCTTCCCGTAGCTACCTTTATGTCTCGATTTTTTTATTATTATTTCTTGTCATGTTTTCTTTTTGCTTAACGGCGGCAGATTTGAAAAGAATTTTTGCTCGCAAATGAAATTGTTTCCTGTTAAAAGCTAAAAAGAGGCGAAGGCAAGAAAACAAACTACGCCAAGGGGGCAGGGACATGGGAGGAGAGGGGAGGTGCCGCGGGTCCTGCAACATGGATATGGATATGGATATGGTTATATGGATGTGGTCATGGATATGGACGGCACCTGCCGTCGCAACGATTGATGAAATTAAAAGGTATAAATAAAAATCTCCTTAATGGGCCTGCCGATTCGGAGCTTAATTTTTTAATTAAACAAGCCAGAGAGGACGACGAGCTGCTGCTGGTGGACCCGACCAGGTCTGCGGGCCATTTATGCAAAGCAGTAGCCACTTGGCCACTTGTGTGGCCTGTCCACGGTCTGCTGGCGATGGCAAGGAGGAGTTTGGAAGCAGAAGCAGGTCCCATCGGCAACGAATAATAACTGTGTTTGCCTTGGGCAATGGCCAACACTTTTACTGCCCCCAAGGAGACCCAGGAGTCTAGAGTAGAGTGGCAATAACATGTTAATCCCCTCGCCAGCAACGATGTCAAATGTCAGCACATGTGATTTGTCATCTGGCTGGCAGGATGAGAGGAAGATGAGCCCGAGGAGGAGGCTGAAGATGACGCGAAGGAGCCTGCTCTGCGTCGGTGGTCGATTGTCGCCTGGCCTGGGCGAACATTTGTCAACAGGGAATGGAGCAGCAACACCAAGGAGACCACCTAACTTGTTCTTACAAGATTCCCCCAAGAATGGCCAGGAATGTGCAATTGATATTCTGCGAAATCCGAGGGGATGTCCAGGCTAATGACTGTGATCTATTGATCTGTACAGGAGAGAAAAAATAAGGCTAGACTTCACAGGAGTAGAAACTAAGGACATTAATCTAAGGATTTTTAATTGAGAAATAAAGTTTTAAGATTAAATTATATTTTTTAATTGATTCTCTTGTTTTTCAGATTTATTTTGGGTTAAAAATTTGGGAATGAAATTTAATCATTAAAACCTCTTACTTACTTCCTTTCCTCTTTGAATAAACAACACCTTCTCTCATTGAATTTATATATATTTTTTTATTTATACGATTTCTCTGCACACATTTTGTAATCCAACAAAAAAAGATAAAGAAACAACTGAGCATATATACTATATATATTTGAAGAATTTAAAATCAAGCCAAAATTAAAAGAGAAATGAAAAGTGTTTGATTTTTTTGTTGAGGCTTTTTATTCAATTTCTAGTGTGTGTTTTTTGTTGTTGTTGTTACTCGTTTTAATACAAAGAAATGCAATTAAATAGTCGTTTATATATTCGTATATATAAGATAGAGATTAATAGAGATAGAGAGAGAGAGAGAGAGAGGGGGAGACAGACTTGAGGAGAGAGAGAGAGATGGGCGAAAGAGAGTGTATCTTGCGTTTATACATAAATAATTACATTTAATGCTCGGCTTACAAATAAAACATATTACAATTTACAATGGTAGAAGTGGGTTAACTTAGGCGTATGATTAATCCATTAATTAAACGTAATTAGTAGACAAAGAAAAGTGCAAATGAATTTACAAATGACAAATGAGAATCGGTCCCCGCTCCGATATATATTTTTGTTTAGGTTTAAATAAATAGTTTCTGCTGTGTTGGTAGATATAGTCATCCCCATTCGCCGTTTCGATTCAACATAAGAATTTTGTTTATATTACAGCAACGCGCATATGTATAAGTACAGTAGTTCATTTCGTTTCGGTTTCGTTTCCGGTTTCCGGCATCGGTATCGGTATCGGTTTCGGCTTTTATTTAGTTTGAGTGCTGCTTCAATGCCTAGTTAAGTAATTAATTAATCGTTCAATTGTTAAATGGTTTCTTGTCTTAAGTACACACTAATTAAATTTTCACCTAAGCATCTCGCTCTACCTTGTTCGCTTTTTCTTTTCTTTTGTTTGGGTTTATCTTTGTTCACTTTAAATTTACATTCATACATATTTCTACATATAAACTTGACGCTTCAGTTGTCTGTGTTTGTTTTTTCGTTTTTGTTTTTCATCAATTTGTTTTAATTTCGCATATTTGGTTTGCTAATATGTTTGAACTATTTATTTTAAATATTAATATAAATATATGAGAAACAATTTTTGCATATCCTTGTGTCTATATATATATTTGTATATATATATACTGGTATGTAGAAAAGCAGCAGTTGGTTTGTTTGCTGTTATTACCTTTTGTTTTCTTTTGATTCGATTTGTAGTTTAGTTTCTTAGTTTTTGTTTTCGTTCAATTAATAAATATAACGTTGCTTATTCAGTGTGAATTTTGGTGTTTTGTTGCAGTACATATCGGGATACATACGTTAGTAGTTCTTTAAAAGGTTCCTTTATTCAAAATTTGTTTCCACCTGCCCCTCGAATTGGATATTGCTCTCAAACAGTGTCCTAAAATCAATTTTCATGCAACAACATTTCTCCTTTTTTTTTGTATTTGCTTATAAAATTCGGTTTATTTTGAATGGAGTTTCTCTTAATTTGCGTTCTCTCTTACCATCTTGTCCAATTTCGATCGCTTGTGCCTAGTAAAATTGTTTAATATTTAGTTTTAACCTTTTTGGAAGTGTTTTGCTGTGCGAATTTGTTATCGTTACCGACTCTCTCTTAGTTTCTGCTTGCGTATGAATTTAAAAAACGTCTCCACTCATCCTCCGTTCGATTTGTTAAATTTGTTTGCTAATTGGTTTTGTTTTTGGTTCATTATAAAATTTTGAAAATATATGCATATATGTATATATAATATATATATATATATCGATTTTGTTTGCATTTGTATTTTTATTAATTCTCATTGCTAATAAATTTAATTGGTTTAGTAAATCAAAAGTTTATTACGCTCTCAGTGCATTCGAAACGTAAGCTTGCACTTGAATGTCGCTTTCTTAATTTTCATTTCAACAATTTTTAGCATTTTGTTATCGATTATCGTTATAGCTATTCCTCGCATCGGTCGTTATTCGTTTTAATTTTTTTTGTTAGTTTATATAGCACATACTCGTAAATAAAAATCTTATTGTCTTTTCATTTATAACTATGTAGCAGTTCTGCGAGTTCCGTCCCTGCGGCCTGCGGTAGAGTCTTCACTGTACTGTATGAAGTGCGGCCTGAGTTATCGTTTATCGCTGGCTCTCTTCCGGTGCTGATTTCACTTCCGCTTCCCTTTAACGCTTTAGCTTCCGTAGTGTGCTTTGAGGCGCGGTGCAAGTGCAAAGTCCTGTCTGAGTCGAGGTACTGAACAGTAAGCAACTCCATGGTACATTGAGTTCTATATGTGTGTTTATATATATGTATCAGTTCATTATAAAGTTGAAATATTTATCCGTACTTTTTGCTCTTTGCTTAAATTCATTTGCAAACTGAGTACTGAGTATAGGTGTCTCTTTCGAGGATCTTCTGGGGCTTTCACATTCACAGGGTATTCTTTGTGCGGTAAAGGTTAAGTTTAAGCTTTCTGTTTAAGAGATTTTGATCAAAACATCAGACTTTAGTTTATTTTTTGATAATATATATTTCCCTTTGTATTTAAAAAGTGTTGAAGAAATATCTCGAGATTTAAATACAAATACATTTTTATGCATTTTAAAATCAATAAAAATTTATTAAATTTCTTATTGAAATGTTTAGAAAATTTACAAAGACTTTCTGTGAATGTAAAGCCCAAAATAATCTCTCCAAAAGGTTTTTCTAGGCCAAGTTTTCCTCAATCTCTGACTACTACGCATTTCTCCTGTGACCAAAACCAGACAGTGTGCTCTTCTGTCGGATCTTCTTCATCCCAATGCGTATGGGTTCCGTTAGCTTGGAAGTGGTGGATGTGGCCAGGAAGCCAGTGAAGCCGCCATCGGAGCTATTACCGCTACCCCCGCCATTCCCATCCAGATCGCCATCGTACTCCACGGGATAAACACTGATATTGTCCAAGTTGTCAATGTCCACATCTCCGCCAGCATTCCGTACATAGGCCAGCCGATGGAATGGTGTGGCCATCAGCCGCCGGGTGAACATCCGCTGGGGTTTTCTCAGTGTAGTGGGCGTCGTCACTCCACCTGCTGTTGCTCCCGTTGTGGCTGTCGTGGGCGAGGCCTCGGTGAGAGTGTTGTTCTGGAGGTTGCTGTTGATGTTCTTGTCCACGCTGAACAGCGAGGGAGCCACATGCTGCGGCGGTGTAGTCCAGGATGTGGAGGAGAATGTGGCTGGCGTGCTGCTGGGCGGTGACTGCTGCAAGGCAGTAGCTCGTGTTGTCCAGAGGAAAGTGCGGGGCTTGACTTCATTCTCGCCGGGATTTAACTGGCTGATGCTCTGTGAAGTTTCAGTCTGACCTGTGGTGGCGGCAGCTGTCGGCGTGACTCGCGTGCTAATGGTGGTGCTTCTTACAGTGGCCTTGCTCTTGGCCAGCGGCGTCTGCTCTAGCACTAGCTGGGAGCCCGTTGTGGAGGTAGTTGTGGCCGCCGTGGCCGCTATTGCTGATGTTGCTTTGGTTTCATATGTTGTCGAGACTGCAGCTTCGGAATCGGTGACGAAGTCCGTATCCTCCACCAACTCGGGCTCGTATTGCAGCAACTCGGTATCGTTGCCAGCCATCATCTCCGGCGTTGTGGAGGAGGAGGATATGGAGGAGGCCTCCATTTCCTGGTTGCTGATGAAGGTGGCCCAGGCCTCGTAGTTGCTGCTGCTGCTAATACTGTCATCAGTTCCTGTCGTTGTGCTGCTGCTGCTGCTAAAGCCATCGATGGTGGACCAGGTGGACCAGGGATCCAGGCTGGAGCTGCTGTTGTCCGGATCCTCGAAGCCCGTGCTGCTGAAGCTGCTGCTGAACAGAGAGTCGTCTGTGTACGGAGATGTGGCTGATGTGGCCAGAAGTTGCTGCTGCTGGTGTGCTTTGATTTTGGCCTTGCCCTTTCTTCGTCTGCCCTTGCGCCTGCTGCTCAGTGTTGTTGCTGACAATTTGGTTGTTGTTGGTGAAGTGACTGCAACTGCAACTGGAACTGTTGCTGCTGCTGTTGCAGGACTAGCTGTTGCTCGTTGTTGCTGCTGCTCGTGTTGCTGCTTCTGCTGCTTGCGGCGCTTCTGCTTCATTTCGTGTTGCTGTCGTCGCAGCAGCAGCGAAGGATCATTGTGATGATGCCGCACCTGATGCTGCCGCTGCTGCTGCTTCTGCCTGTTTATTGCTAATTGCTTTTTGTTAGTGCTACTTAGACTAGTACTACTATTATTAAGAATAACGTTATTATTATTATTATTATTATTATGGCCATGATGCTCCTGTTGCTGCTGCAACTTTTGATTTTGGTTATTCGATTTGTGGCGATTGTTTTTGTTGTTGCGCGGGGGCTTCCGACTATTGCCGCTGCTGCTAGCATTAACCATCCTTTCGGGCAATCGGTGATGGCGGAAAAACTCCTCGGCATCGATCTTATTGAACATGTAGCAGGCATCGTTGAGGCTCTTCTTCGGACCCACAGGCTTACCTCGGCGCGTGAACCCGACACGTTGCTTCTCATCGACAAGGGAACTGAACACGAAATAACCGTGGACGAGGGCCTCTTTGAAATAGCAGGTTTCTCGCAGATCCCTCTGGAAATGGAAGAGAGATGGGTATTATTAGAGAGATCTGCTTCCTAAGGATGCTCCCTTCACCTGCAATTTATGAGCGGCATTTCCGCTCGATTATATATAGGTGTATATAGAGATATAGTGTGGATAACGTTGACAGCCCCAACATCATTGTTGTGAACGTTTATTCTTTATTTTGCCTTCTGTTTATTTATAAAACACTTGAAATCTCGAGACCGACATCCGAATGAAACGCGGCTTTCGACTTGGATCTGGGCATTATACTCTGTACAACTTGAGATCTTTGAAGGGTATACCTATTTATAGTTAAGTTCGGGTTTTCTGTGGGATTTTTCTTAGAACCTTTAACTTAGTCTTTGTCTTAAATTAAAAGAAATTCATATCCAGGGAATTTTTATAGGATTTTTTTTTAATTAACAGAATTTCTTTTGCTTTTTATTAATATTTTATTATTATTACACAACCTAATTTCCTTTATAATTCCCTCAACTCCAGGGTATCTTTTAGACGTTTCCCTCTAATCCACAGCCTCTTTAACCCAGTCTTGCTGCCGTGTTGACCATTTCTGCTATCAGTAGTCCCATCTGAGCGATCAGATCGTGCCATGCGATTGCTTCCCAAAGTGTTGGAAACGACGCAGATGAAACATTTCCCAAGCAATTAAGACTTGTGCCATATTTAGCCATGCTGATACTCCACCTGGGCCGAATATTTATAGCTCATAATTGCTTCTCTAGACCCTAGAAGAGTGAGTGGCTTGAGTTCTATTTCGAGCAGGGATCGCAACTAGAAATCAATACGATCGACCTCGATGATTAACCTTGCTGGCACAAGATATACAATAATAGTGTGTAAATCACAGTCGGTATTTGCACAATAAGCCAGCATGGATTTTGCGGTCATAATAATCGAAAGCCAAGCGGCTCTAGAATGACAAGTGTGTGCTGCGCGGGTTCTGACCTTAGGGGCTGCTCTGTTGTTTGCTCGGCGATCAAGTGCGGTTAACTAACTGTATTGTGAGTGGCGAAAAGGACATTGAAATATTTTCGCCATTACCACATAACAATGGCAATTAATTGCCTTGTCATCTGTCTGATTGATGGGACATAACTATTTGTTAATCTATCATAAACTATGGGAAGTGTGTTTGCTTTTCCAGTGATTTTTACGAGTGCTGATTGCACTTCACTGTGAGCTTTGTGTTTGGTGACATTGGCTGCTCTTAAAAAAAAGTGTTACAATGTTAATTAATTCTCAGTTTCTTAGGAATCCCCGAGAGAGTCCCTCCCAGTTGCTAGTCAAAGTTCCAAGCGATATCACGCATACGCCGCGTAAACGTATCTCGAAAAATCTTTGTGCCAATTTCTACGAATAATTGCATATGAAATTGTTTTGCTAAAAATTACAACAAAAATATTGTAATAAATATTTTTTATGTGCTGACAGATTTGGTGCAACTGCAACAACAGGTTTACACACTTTTTTTCTTGCTGTTTTGCAATTTGGCCAGGTCGCTATAATATTGTTATTGTCGTATAAACGATCGTTTGCATAAAACCATTATGTGGAACATGTCATAAATTACAGTGTTTGTACAGTTAGCTTGCATAAAAAATAAGGAGAGAAAAAAATGTATGGAAATCAAAACAAATCGCGGCGCTTGGCTTTGGCTTTTGTCAAGTACAAATGCAATGCAATCAAAAAAAATATATATATCGCTGCACCGTCTGGGCCTTGGCTATATCAGCATCTATAAGGCCGGGCACAGAGCAAATATTGCCGAGCATATAATTATGGCTATTGCTGAGCAATTTGCTTAACCAAGACCAGGCCATAAACTTTATCTATCCATAAACAAATTGTGTGCAGGAAAATCCCCTTTCATGTCAGCGACTTTTCTCTGTATAAATTCCGGGAAATCACCACTTTTTTGGCTAGGAAAGTTAGTTAATAGATTTTCTTTGTACTCACCATTCCAACTAATCTCCAATTGTCGTTGAAACACAAATATCTTTGTGTTTCTTTTGCGTACAGTGCTATTTTGAATTTGTTGTTCAGATAATCCGTGTAGCCGTATATCGTTATATTTTCTGTAAGAAAAAAAATAAAGAGACGTTTAAATTCCATTAGTTAATCAGCCTGGCAAGTGGTTTTAATTGATGTAAATATTTGGCGGGCAAAAACATTTTTAATTAAAAGCAAACACAACTCTTTTCGCCGACTCAAAGTGATTAAGCGTGCCAAAACGGAAGGTAACGATGGCCAAGGGGCCGAGGAGGAGGGTATTATTTATGTACATATATCTCATCAATGTCGGGATACAATGTACATCTGATTGGAACTTTGACCTTAGGTCGAGACACGTGTTCAAGCGGATATTACTTAATGAACGTGGGTCTCGTTAATGATTGATCGAGTGTTGTCAAATATTTGGATCAAATAAGAGCAAGTCAATAGGGGAAGCCAGAAATTTAATGGATTCAAGGTGTATTATGTTGGGATATTTAAATTTATTTTATAGAATTTTTCTTAATATTTTTAATTTGATTTGAACTTGCTGCTTTAATTGATTAACTAAGAAACCAATGCAATTTCTTTAATTTATATATTTTTGAACCCCTCCCCCACTCTCCTAAATACCCAAACAATTTCTCAAAATAGTCGGCGAATGCATTAAGCCACATAAAGTCAAGTAGCCAAGTAGTAGGTGCGCATGCTCTCTCTCCGCTAATTGTAAACTAACATGGTTTCCCAGCCCCCAGATGTATCTGTATCCGTATCTTCGGCAGGGCATCTGTATCTGTGCCCTGGCCTCGACAGGCTATTGAACTTCAGGACGGGGCCAGCAGATGAGCAGGCGGGAGGGAGCCCAGGCTGGCCACAAAAGTCACTAATAAGTAAAGCACTTGAAAAGCCAAGGCAAAAAAAAAGGCAACACAAGGAGAAAAGCCACTCGAGTTAGATTGATAGGTGACTGGGTTCAGTCCCGGTTTCTCCCCAGTGGCCCCCTCTTCTTGGTCGTCTCTGCCAGTAATTAAATTTATGCACAGAAATTCTTGGCAGAAGTCGCTTTTGCCTTGTCTCGCCAGCTCTTAGCTCTCATATTTCATAAGCCGAAGCCGGGGCGAGCCGAGGGCTTGAGTGACTCTGTGCTTCACACCTTTGGCCGCCGGTGGCTGCCACTTGTGCCTCTTGGCCCCGGCCAGCACCAGCTCTAGCTCCATCTACAGCTCCAGCTCCCTTTGTTGTTATTCTTGTGATTCACGGCCTGTCAGCCTTCGTTCCTAGCTTATTGATTTCATTAGTTTGGTGACACAAACTCGCATACACGGGCAGAGAGCATGAGCACCCTTCGGCGGCTGGCACTTGTGAGTGCATACACTCGATGGTGCACTGGGAGAAAAATTCTTAAAATATTATTTTTGTTCCTAGAAATGTTTACAAAATGTTTACCCTTGAAGAAATCATTTGCGACCCCATAAAGTATATATATTCTTGATCAGCACAACGAGGAGAATCTTTCTAGCCATTTCCGGAAGAAATTTAATTTTTTTTCAAATTTTTCAAAAAATGATAAGGGGTTACATCATTAAAATTTTTGATTTTGATAAAAAATTGAATTTTCAAAATTTTTAAATGAAGTATGCAGATTTATTGACTGTAGAAAATCTTGCACAGAACAGTTTTCCGATTTAAAATTAATGCTCTTTTGGCCGAGTTATGATATTTTTAATTTAAAAAAAAAAAAGAAGTTTTTTAATATAAAAAATCAGATTTTATAATACAAAATAATATTTTTTTAAGTCAAGGAATCATTTCCGACCCCATAAACCATATATATTCTTGATCAGCATCAACAGGGGAATCATTCTAGATATGTCCGGAAGAAATCGATTTTTGGCCATTTTTGCGAAATTTGATAAGGGGTTACATCATTAAAATTCTCAAAAATTGAAAAAAATTTTGATTATCTGAAATTTGAAAATAGGTAAGCAGTTTTTTTAAGATAATGAAAACTAACACAAAACCGCTTTCCGAGTTGAAATTAATGCATTTTTGGCAAAGTTATGCAATATTTTAAACTTTGATTTGTCCAAAAAATATCATCTAAAAGTATTAAATATTAAAATTGTTAAAATATGGCCCCTGATCCAATTATAACCTGCAGAGCTATGTATATAAACTTTAAGCTTGCTTAAGTTAACTTCCTTTTGGATTTTAAATATATTTTTCCCAGTGAAGTCCCAGTGTCAGTCCCCTTTTGGTGGAAACGAAGCCAACTCCTAACCGATCCACCGCCTTTGTGCCATATTTGCCTACTTGATTTCGCAGTCGAGCAGGAAGTGCAAATCCAAGTCGAGATGAGCAACAACGGTAACAATGTTGCGGTATTTGTGGCTTTCCATCTAAAAACCATTAGATTTAATATAGTTGAACTGCGAGTGACTTTGACATTGAAGGTGCCATCACAGAGTTCCCCCAAACATCATCTGACTTCGTTAAGCCCGTCGTCCAATAAAAATCACCCCAAATCCCTCCCAAATGTTTATTTTTAAATGCCCATCTAAGACAACAAGATTTTAGTTTTCCACTCCACACAAAAAGCCATCAAATGCATTTTAGGCTTTGGAATTTTTATGGGCTTCGATCTTTTTGGTAAATTTTCGAGAGAGAGCTCTCGCCGCTTTGGTTTTGTTTTTCACTCAATAAAAAGCTACGATCGGGTCGCATTTTTGCGGCAAGTTATTAAGATTTTAACAGTCAAATCGAGTCGAGTTTCTAATTAAGTTATTAGTCATGGTGAGTGGAATTTACGTTTTTGTTTCGTTTTGTATCGAATGGGCGTTGTTTTTGTTTAAGGCTGTGAAGTGCATCAGCATAAATATGGCAAAGAGCGTATGGAGGCGTGAGTTAGTTCAAAAATAAGTCCGCTGGATATATAGAATTTCGATTGAGTTTGCTTCAATTTATGGTTATTGATAGCGTCTTGTGGGCCATAATTTAATTGTCATTAATTGCGACCTGAGACGTCACAGGGTTTGCGTCACTAACTGGGCCAAAGAAACCCATAAAAAGCAGCGATAAGAATTTCACACCTTCCCTGGCATATTGCAATTTTCTTTAAATTTTCTTTAAATTTTTTTTACTTTTTTAAGCTTAAATTTACAGAAATATCTCACAGTTATGGTTGCATCCAGCTGGTCACAGCTTTAAGGCCATAAAAAACACACATCTTCTCTGTGATATATAATGTCAAAATGCCGAAAATGTAACAAATGACACATGCTGCGAGAGGGAAGCCGAAAAATCAAAGCTTTATGCTGGGAAGATTCAGGAAAACAAAGATCGTGGCCACAATAACAAACCATAAAAAAACACAAACAAAAAGGCGTAGCAACAACATCGAAACTTTAATCAAATATGCAAGCAATGAGCTTCATCAACATAAAATTAAAAAATCATAAAATGCTAAACTGCACAGCATGAACAAAATCCAAAATCGAAATACCGAAAAGCCGAATCAAAATAAAACAAATAAAAAAATCAGATATCTTGACAACGAGCTGCTGGGGCGTCAAAATGCCTCGTAATTGCGGCACATGTACGAAATACAAAAAAAAAAAAAAAAAAAACTCTAAAAAAACTACAACAAAATGAAGAAAGAAAAAAACAGACAAGATTTTACGATCGCTAGGTGTATACGCAAGGCGATATATGGACACCTCCAACTTTGTCATTCCATCAGCCTGAATCTCCATCGCCTCCACCTGCGATTTGAGTTATTGATAGGGCTTGGTTGGGCTAAATATATCTATATCTTTGCATATATATCTTACCCATTCCGAGGGCTCAGTGGGCGTTGCCATTTGATAAGCATAAATCGCAGCTTATCGATCTCCTATGATAATCAAGAGCCCTTTGCTTGGGCATATTTATCGAGTCTAAAACCATAAATGATTTTACTTTCTCGAAAATTCTACTTTCACTCTCTCTGGGGGAGTGGTGATATTATATTTATGGGGTTGAGAATTTCATTTTAAGCTGGCTTATTGAGTTGAGGAAGTTATTTCAAGACCTTAAGACAGCTTTAAATAAATGCAAACAGATGAAAACCGGAAATACCATCCTCAGATCTAGGTGTTGAACAAAGAGTAACTTAATATTCTGTTTCTATTTGAGAAATCTAGGAAATATTTTTAAATTTAAGAGTCTATATATTTATAATATTTTTAAAAAAGTATTTTTCCTTTAAAACCAGGACTAAAACAAACATTTTCCTACTTTAAAATCCTGTGAAACAAATAGTTAAAAATTCTAAGGACTCTATAATATTTTAAAGAATATTATCCAACTGCCAACCTTCAACCTATGCCAACTTAGGAATATATATTTCGAGTTTCTCCCTCTAAAAACCCCTTGTTATCCTTGGCATTTCGAGCCTATAGCTTATATACCCACCAAGATCATTGCCCTACGAGAACCCAATAGTTCCTGGAATGACGTCTGCGGCATTCACTTCGATGGCTGCATATTCCCGGAACTTTTACGCTGACGACTGCAGTTGGAGCTCTGTGAGTTCTGGACCCTGGAGGCTGGGTTCTGGGCTGCTGGAGTCTGGGTATGGCTACCCGGGATCTTAGATTACACTCGGTGCCGGGCCCTTAAGTAATTGCATTTTGCATTTTGCATTTACCATTTTGCATTCACAGCAACGTAAACAAACAAACTGCGATTTGTCACATGCTGCCACTAGTTGCCAGCGTCATGATCATAATTATCACGATCATGATCATGATCATGATCAGAATCGTCGTCGCACACTCTACTGGCCATTGGTTATTGACGTTTTGTCACGTTTCCTGGAAGAAACCGTTTTATTTGCTGGCATTTGGGTTTGTTTTGTAAGCCGAGAGCGAGCGGCAAACAAACTGCTTTCGGGTCTGGGCCTTGGCCAAAGGAAAACAAACTACGGACGCAACTCTGGAGCCATTGCACCAGCAGCATTTATCAGTTTTTGAGACTTGGTTTTCCTTTGGTTTTGGTTTGGTTTTCCAGCCCCAACACCCCTTCCTGCCCTGCAGCTGCACTA